CTTAAAAACAAACATAATTAAATGCGACACTAGAGAATTGCCAATACTCGTCTTGCCTACATCTCTAAAATAACAAGAAAGGAAGCTAGCTTCGGCCAGCCGAAGCTTATATACCCTTGCAGATAATTCCTATTAATTTACAAATCGCAAAAATGTTAATTTTCCTATTATTTCTCATTAATTTTGCATTCGTTTCAATGCAATACTTGAAAAGAGTTATATCCTAGAGTAGAAGAGAATACAATAAAAACCAACGAAGCAATAATTTATTTCCTATTATATTCCCATTAATTTTCCGATCGTTCCTATAGCAGCTATATGATATAGTCGTCCGATTTTGAAAAAATTTTATTCAAAATTCAGAATTAGGTAAAAAATGACATTTCCAAAAGTAGGATGTTATAGGTTCAAAAACACCCAAGATATAATTTTTTTACATTTTTTTTCCCGATTGTTCCTATGAGAGCTATATGATATAGTTGTCCGATCCGGCTCGTTCCGACTTATATACTACCTGCAATAGAAAGAAGACTTTTGGGAAAGTTTTATCCCGATAGCTTGAAAACTGAGAGACTAGTTTGCGTAGAAACGGACGGACAGACGGACAGACGGGCGGACAGACGGACGGACAGACGGACGGACAGACGGACGGACAGACGGACAGGCGGACAGGCGAACAGGCGAACAGGCGGACAGACGGACAGACGGACATGGCTGGATCGACTCGTCTAGTGATGCTGATCAAGAATATATATACTTTATGGGGTCGGAAACGTCTCCTTCACTGCGTTGCAAACTTCTGACTGAAATCATAATACCCTCTGCAAGGGTATAATAATATTGCGTTTTTTAAGTGTCTTAAAGCAAGAAATCAGGCTCCAAAAACTAGACATGTTAACATCTTCTGTCTCCCAGATGTGCCGATAGCCCAGTTGCGAATAACTTCCAATGGTATTTATTTTGAAATCAGGTCTCCAATTTCCATCGACTTCTTGCACCCAATTCGGTGTGTTGGTTTTGATTTCTGAAATCCATTTTCTCACGACACATTCAGCCAGTCGCCGTAGCAGTATCTCCGTCTTGGTATCTGTATCTGTGTCTATGAATCTGCATCTGCAACTGAGGCTGTAATGTAAGCATGCATAAATATCACCTGTCTGTCGCTTACCTCTATCCATTCCCAATTGCTGCGTCTGGTCCTCCGATTCGGGCTGTCAACATTGATTTGTTGGCTCTGCGGCCATACTTTGAGATACTTTCAGGCACTTTGCTCCAGGGCCGAGTTCGGCTCGATGGCTGACTTCCATATCATTAGAAACCATTTATCTTGATAAATGTAAATGTTTTACCATATATTTGTGTCAAACGTGCGTCGTCTCATTTGCTTTGCATGCGTTCTCCAAAGATTTACGGCCGACTGTTCTGAGCAATGTGATCGTCTCGGGTTTTGGCCGTAAAAGAGTTATGTGCGTGGCTGATGATGACGTTACTCTTTTGATCCTCACCTAAATACATTTTATAGGGGGTTCGAGTTAGAGCAGAAAACTGTGTTCGAACAACTTAATGGGGGATGCAGGTCTGATAAACATTCGACTAGATATTTGGAATGCAAATAAATGTAGTCTTTTATATAACCGGACATTTTTTTTACCAGTGCTCTTGCCACTTTCCATAATTTTCGTTTTAGGCACATATAAACTAAAGGTTAATTCATTAAAGTAGTTTTATATATTTTTTCGTTATTTTAATTTTACTAATTCTTGTTATTATGTATTTTTGAGGAGAATAAATTGAATATATTTAAATTGTAAGGATTTAAATGATTTTTCATCTAGTTTTATTGAACTTGCTTTTATTAAAGCCGTACATTTTCTTTAAATATAATAAAATTCTCATTTATTAAAATTCTTTTTATTTATTAAGATGACACATCAAATGCAACTGACAAGAAATCGATTTTGAATTTATATGAAACGGACAGGATTGCCTTTATGGTTTAAGTTAATCAATAGACTGGCTTTTTCTCAAATTAGATTAACTTCTATTAGCCAGCTTTTTGACAATTTTCCATTAGGATTTTCATGCCAGCGGTAATTGTGCGCACAAAGGTAGCCAATCAATAAGTAATTGCCAGACCTCGACCACTGCCCCGGTGCAGACTTTTTAAATTGGTTATCGTTCACACATTCGAACGCAGCTCGGGCCAAGCTGATAATTTTTCGAGCCGGGCGTTGCCTTTTAATTAACAACATTAACAAAAAGACCACGCCCTAGTCTAGCGTACCACAAAAGAGAGAGAGCAAATCGGGCAATAAATAAAATTTTAAACGTCTCCCACCGCCGCTGCCAGCCGGCACTTAATTACAATTTTCCGCGCTGCCATTTTCCATTTTCCACCTCCACCCGCTGCCGGGGGCATTATGTCACTGCACTCACTCCCCGGTGTCTCCTCTCGTCCCCAGGTCAGCGATAAATTCCTGGACGCCTACAAGGTGGGCGTTATTTATTGGCCCTGCGTGCAGACGGTGAACTTCGCCTTCGTGCCGGCGCGGAACCAGGTCATATTCACCTCCTTCTTCAGCATGTGCTGGACCACCTTCCTGGCCTACGTCAAGTTCCTCCAGCTGCATCCCCCCGTAGATGTGGATCACCACGCCATGGACATCCACTTCCTGGAGATGTGAGTCCGCGCCCGCAACTAGTTACCCCCAAATGTGATGCCACCAGTACCAATAGCAGTCCTCCCGCCCCGGAATGAGTTAATGACATGTCATTTCTTTTGTATATATTTTTGTGGGCCGCTGGCATTGTATGTATGTACGCCCATTTATTTCTTCCCGATAAATAAGTTGTGATAAGACCGTAGTTGGTGTTTTTCTCAGAATTCAATTGAAATTGGGCGTTATCGTCAGTTTCGTTTAGGAATCTCATGGGACCAGAAATATAAATGGGTGGATAGCGCTTGAGAACCCGAACCTTTTAAGCATGCGAACTTTTGTTTTCACTTCTTATACTATTTGCTAAATTTTAAATTAAATATTCCCAACAGTAAATATCGCACGAAAGTCTTTGGCCAGTTGGCTTTGCATATATTTGACTTCAATTGACCTGCATCAGCATTTATCAAAATTAATATTTATTATTTGTGCGCTTCTTTTGGCCGGGGGAATTGGGGTCCATTAAAATGCATACGTAACATCTATGCATATTATATAGATGGCGGTGTATCTATATTTGTGTATCTGTGGGTTCGTTGAAGTGGAACCGCTAAGTGGTTGTGCTGAATGCGAGAACGGAATGCATAAATAATGCCGATTTAGATTATTCTGAAACAGAAACATCATCGCCGAAGTGTGGTCCGCATTCGGATTTGGACAAAATGCCAGGGTACAGAACGCAGACGATGACGAGGCCATAATCAGGGGAATTAATATGGAAATGTATGCAGAGCCAAAAACGAAACCGCAGAAGTAAGCGCAGAGCACCAAACTGAACCCGCGAAATCCAAACGCATGTGGGTTCTGTTATCAGGACGGGAAAACGTGGCGAACTTCCTGCCCAAAAGGGGTGTTTGTGGTGCACAGAGAAAATATAACGATAGAAATCTGTAATCTACATTTTAATAAACAAAAGCTATCGAGAGTATTTCAAATTTGTTATTCCATATATTTTATTACATTATTTTAAAAATGTATTTATTTATTTATCTTAGTGAAGTTTATAAAACTAATAACTAACCGTGGATCTAATCGTGCTAGCTAATATTATAATTCATGTGTTTTTGTTTTTTTTTATGTTACATATAGGGCTAGTTACATTGCTTTAGGAGTATGAAGAAATTTTGTTATAAGGATGTTTCAACACTTCTGGATTAACTTGATTAACACGTGTGATTAACACAACTTGACGATTAAGCCAATAAAAGAATTTAATTTTTTAGAGGCCACAACGAAAATCTATAACTTAGGGCATTATAAAATATTTTGTCATAAAGTTGGCTCTTACTTTTCTCCGTGCACCTCAGCTGTGAAAAAGCAATTGAAACAAGAGTTTCATTTAATTCTGCGTCGGCTGGCAGGCCAATTTCCTATCCGCCCAGCGCCCATTTCTCAGTGTCTTGCCGAGGTCTTTATGTTGCTGTTTTATAGCGCATTAATTTCGAAAGTAGCGCTACGTGTGCCAAAAATCATTAGCAACGGAATTACGCTCAATGAAATGCAGTCGGCGTCGCCGGCAAACAAAAGCCGACCGAGGGGAGATAATAAAGCGTGGCCAGGCCGGTCCTCCGTCGATTTCGATGTTGATGTCGATGCCGATGCCGGAACAGGGGAACCCAGAAATGACTGGCCTGCGACGGCGCCGGGGAAAAAGGTGGAAAACGGCAGTGGAAGTCGGAGGGGGAAAAGTCGACAGCCGCCAGTCGGCAGCCGCTTGACGTTAGCGTTTCTGCTGCTTATAAATTTACCCTAACGACAAGTTAAATGCTGAATACGAAATGTTGCAGAGGCAAGGGTTCCCATTCCGAAACCCTCGGAGACATCAGTATAGCATCAGCAAAATTGCCGCCAAGACGAAGCCTTAATGGGCTTAACTTTGAAATTTGAAAACACATGTGGATTGAAGGGAGGACAGATTTATTAAAGCAGGGAAATACTAGGAATCTATCAGAAATGAGTTATGAGAATTTGCATTATTAAAACTAAATTAAGATACATGTATGGTAAATTTATTGGTTGCCTAAATTTTATCTTAAAAATACAGGAAAAATAGGTAGTCTTTAATACGCATTTCGTTTATATTTTCCAATTCTGTGATACTATATTTGGAAAACGTTCAACATGCTGCTTATCAGAATCTGGATCGCATCGATGGTCCCATTGCTGGCAATCTTATCACAGCGAATAAACCATTATCAGATAATAGGCGGAACTAATTTGCCTAATGAAATTATGCAAATGGCGTTGGCAGTCAGTTTGATTTGGGACCGGCAGGTGCGAGCACTCCACACATCTAAAAACATACAAATATAGTATGTTCAAGTCCAAGTCCTTTGATTTGGTCAATGAGGAAAAGACAAAGAAACCGGAACGGCTGTATCAGCCTAGGAGGATGCGATGGCTGAAATATATCATCCTTCCTGCGGTTTTTTCCTTTGCCCTCCTACTGATCCTGGTCAATGTGGATTTCTCCGACAACAATGAGGAAGTGGCCTCCAATTCAACAGATCTGGAAAGTGTACAGGAGTCGCTTTTAGGATGGGACAAATCGTTCTATGTATCAAGCCAAGGATTTGAAAATAACACGCTGCGAAAGAACTTTTTTTCCAGGAGTTTCGGATTGCGAAATGTTACAATCGAAAACTGTACCATAATCCACATAAGTGATGGAACTTTTGATCAAAATAGCACCCGATACCTAATGAGCTTGCAACTCATAAATGTGCAACTGGAAAATTTAACAGAATCAGCCTTACAAGGCCTTCAAAATCTTCACAGCTTTACTTTACTCAATGAGAACAGCTATTTCAAGCCATTTGGATTCCTTTCAGCTGTATCTAAAACGATAATAAATGCTAGAATACACCCATCATTCTCAACGGAAATAAAATTTGCAGTCAGTGACTTCTTGGGTTCCCAAACTTTTACCCAGTTGAAATTGTTAGACATGAGTGGAACAAACTTAGGAGAGAATCTCGGAGCAGATAGCTTTGAAAATCTGCCCGCTTTGGAGCAACTGATTCTAAAAGACTGTGGTCTAAGCCAACTCGAGTGGGACAATCTACCCCCCAGACTTCAATTGCTGCAATACTTGGACTTGAGTGAAAGTCGGAAGTCCTATCAGCTGGAATTATTTGAGATTACCGCTGAAACAACCATTGACGATGAGCAGAATCCTACTATCCAGCCTAAAGAAGCCAGGGGTCCATCCTTTGCACCTTCGACCACAAACTCAACAACAACTCCTACCACCCAGGGTTTAACAGTAACAACAGCCCTAACTACTGCAACAATATTCACAGAAGAAACGGTAATCGAGGAATTAGATGAATCATCGACAACACCGCGGTCGAATTGCGAGGAGGTATACTGCGAAGAACTCGTTTGCTCTCGTATCTCAGCGGAGTCAATGATAGGATCTGTGGATCTGGAAAGTTCGGACAGTTGTAAGGATGGTATACTGGTAGAAATCTGCGAATCGGATTGCACCACACCCACCTATTTCTGTGGCCAATTGGGCGTGAATTTCACCACCGCCTGCTGTTCTCAGGATACCATGAGATGTGTGGTCCCAACAAAAGTGTCCTGGTTCGAGGATCACAGCGGCCTTGTCATTGGATTGGGAATAGGACTCCTTTTTGTTGGTACTTTCCTCGGAATCCTTATTGCTTACGCAACTATGCGACTGAAGCCGTCCTTGTTCAGTGGAAGTAAGAGGCGGGAGTCGAACACGATGGGCCTGATTCCCCGGAGATTTGAGAAGGACATGAACGACTATGCGGTGTAAGTTTTCATTAATTGCATTTATTTTAGCTTTTGTTTTAATAAATGGATTTTTTTTCTAATAATATTTACAAATTCTACACATTAAATTTAAGTTATTAAATTAATTATTTATTTCCAACAGGGGTCAGATCTCGACTCTCGACGACAACGAATATGTCACTGCGTACCATCGTTACCTAGAACAAGCGAATCACCGCCAATCGGAGTCAAATAAATACATATATCCTCCGAGGGATAGGGCTCCCTCTGTTCCGCCCTCCTGTAATTACCCTTTACCTTTACCGCTCCCGGCAAGAAATAACTACATATACGAGAGTTGTGAACTGTACGAGGAACTCCCCTAGATTGCAGTAAAAATAAACTTCCTTCTGGGACAGTAATGTATTATGGACTTATTCTAGTGTAATTCTTACTTAAATAGGTGAAAATTTTTTATTCTTTTTAAGAATTTATTTAAAACATTACTGTTGCTTTGAAAAAAATGAATAGAATCATTTAAATAAATGTTGACACAAATATTTGAAAATAAAAGATAATTGTGTTCTTATTTTGAATTCATAATTCTATCATATTAATAATACTGTCAAATTCCATTTGTTAAAGTATTAAGGCTGACAGAATTCTAAAACTAAACGTAACGATATATGTGCACAAAGATCCTTCAGTAGTCTTTAAAAGATGTTCCAATAACAACCCATAAACTGAACTGAACTGAATTTGTATAGCATGAGTTATGAGCATCTCACATTAACGATGATGACATACCCAATCTCACTTGTTTGTTCTGCTTTGCATCTTCTGATAGAACTCAGCCCCTGTCTGGATTCTGGGGAAGTTTGCCAGTTCAATGCTTTTATTTAGCTTTAATGAGCTCCAGTTGGCGATGAAGGCGAAAAAACTCCATCTGAATGCGCCCCATTGTGGAAACAGCTTTCATCCCGGCACTTGCCCTTCCACGGGACCCAGAGACGTACTCGTAGTGCACAGTTTGTTGACTTGCCACATGCACAATAAAATATTTTTGTAAGCACTTTTTATGGCTGACATATCTTTTAATATACACACAAGCACCGAGATCTTTTTTGCGAGCGTTTTGCCAATTTATTTGTGCCCCCCGTTTCAGTTTGGATATTCGTTTTTTTTTGTTTTTTTGGTGCCCTGCAGGCTGTCGCTGCCATAATTTCCCAGGCACAGCCCCATCCCCATCACAATTCCCGTTTCCAGAACGGAGAAGGGACGGGGAGTCGCTGTCAAAGTCCGGCCAAGTCTCTCGGCCATATGTTGCACACATTATGCTTACTTAACAATTAGAGACGCTCTTGTAATTCCACAAAATTGCTTTGTTCGCCTGGATTTTTTTCGCTCCGGGGAAAGCGGGCGACTTCGGGGGAGGTTCTCTACTGTACTGAAGGCCATACAGAGGGGAACCTGGCGGAGTGGTGCGAGGGGGAAGGAAGTGCCGCAGAGTGGCTTTTGTGCTTCTGCTTTTTCAGAACTCTTTGGTCACTGAGCTGTGAATCGTTATGAGCTTTAAATCCGAGGAAAATGCTTTGATAACCAGGCTGTTGTGTGTGGGAACCGAAACTAGTTAGGGGTGAGGCCAAGGGGAAGGTAAGAGCCGGCTGAACTGACTCACCACTCCTCGCAGGCTCGAAGAAAATCAGAGTATTATATTACACGTATCAGCGAACTTAAGATAAAGATCTTGATAACAAAGAAGTAAGAATGCCGCAACCATAAAATGACCAAAACTCTGTTTTGCTTTTATTTCTTATATTCCTCGTCATCTTATTCAATCTATAAGCCACCTTCATCCATAAACAGTGCAGTGAATTAATACAAATTTTATTTTACTGAATCAATACTTGTTCTCTCTTGCATCTGGTGTACCCAGATATTTACAATGTAAACGAGACTTGGAGATACCCGTCTTTGACTCTTTTCAGCTGCCTAATGAAGTTACAAAAACTATTCCACCGAGCGATTAGATCGACGTCCGTAAACAACTTTCAAGTGCAGAAACAGCGTTCCCAGAAGACGAAGCCCTACAGAACAACCCCCTATGTACACTTCACTGGAGACCGAAAGAAAAGGCCTGGATTCCTATCATCTCAAGTGTGAGATTACTGAAACCCTAGACGAAGTCACAGCCGACTGCATCTGGACAATCCCACATGTGGGCAAATGGATCGATACGACTATCTGTCGCGATAGATATTAATGATTTGCCGCAAATGCCATTAGGCTGTTTTGTACCTTTCCATCACGCCGAACATGATAACTCAGCGTGAAGAGAGCGCAGGGCCGGAAAACAGGGAAAACTCGGGAAACTCTCCGATTGCATGGCGAAGCGGAGGCGTTGCTGTTGCTCCAGACAGATACGAGCGTATCTGCACGAGCAGGGAAGCCCCATTGTTTGGGCGAGGAAATCAAAGACCCTTTTGCCCATTTCCCATTTCCCCGCTGATAACGGATAACGGACACGAACCAACGGCCTCGTAACGTGGCATTTGTTTAATGGATTAAAAATAATAGGTACGAGGGGAGGGCAGATAAAAATCGTAGCACGTTTTGTGTGCGCATGGAAAATGGAAAATGTGCCGCGGCGTGTCATAAATTAATTTTTGTAAATTCTGCAGCCTGTCTGATTCGGTTACGGATTGGTATCGGCTTTAGCCGGGCCTCCAGACAGGGATTCTTATTAATAATAATAATGCCACACGGCTTTGATAGACAGACAAAGGATTTCCTCGGACGGAGTGGGTCCAGGTCCCCGGATGCGAGACCACTTTCATTTCGAGGCCTTCGAGGGTTGAAACCGAAAGCCTTTCAACTGCGGCTGGCAGGCGGAGAAGCTTTTAAAAAATTATGCAAAAATCATGATTAGGCAATTTCCCGATGCTGGAGTCTGGTTTTTGTCTCCCGGCGGCTAATTAGCCATTCATGGAGTGTAGTGCGCCTGGCTCTGCCTGGGGAATATTTAAACAGTTGGCTGGTTCCCAGAAAACGGCGGCAAAAGTTTAATTAGTCCGGCGAATGAATGCGCCTTATGAATATGAAATCCGCAATCCACACAAATCTATTCAGCCCCGATCAGACGCACTCGTATCCTTGAGACTTCAGCTCGGTTCGGCTGAGTTGAGCTGCGACTAATGAGCCCGAGCAGAATTGCTGCAGAGCGAAACAGAAACAGCACACAGCACACAAAATGTAGCAATTATGGGGCGGGACGGAGGAGAACTCACATTAATGACAAAAGCCAGAAAAGTACTCGGCGAATGAGGAGAGGCTGCTTAAGACCCGCAACAAACGAGGGGCACTTAAAAGATGAAACATAAAACGGAGCCCCAGAAGCCCATAAAAAACACATTGTGCAGGGGCCGCACTTGAAAGGCAACTTCTTACCATACCCGCTCGTCTTGAAAAGCCACTGAGGAAAAAGCACCATCATTAAAAGTACAAATTTTTATGGAAAACCGAAGTCAACCTTATTAGAAGTAAAATCATAAGTGACAGAAATATTTTGTTATTTCGTTGAAAATTACTCCTAAGTTCTGGAAAAACGTTATATTTTGTCATTGACGGCCAACTATTCGAACTTACGTCTAGGAGTCCTTTTACATTTTTAACTTTCTTATTTACACGTTTTAAATGGAACTTCTCTGAAAGATTTGTTAAAAACTCATTCCATTCATATTACAACAACCAATAGTTGAAATATCTCAAATAATATTTTTAAGTATTGTTTTACCCCTTGATACAATGATATTCCTCGGTGTAGCCTTGTCATATGGGACATTTGCTTTGTGCTCTGTGGAAAGGGCTGCCATAAAATTGCGCCATAAAAGTAAAAATTAAACCACTAAACGCAGTCCAAACGCGACCGCCTTGCGTCCAGACGCTGACTTTTAAGATTCGCCCTCCCCGGATTGATTTGACTTTGAGCTGGCTGACAGTTTGGGAATCGACCCCAAGGGCAGGAGCTCACGTTCGGCGAAGATAAGGGTGGGGTATCCTAATGATATTCAATAATAATACATGCGCATAAAAACCACTTGCGACCCTCTGCCCGAAAGTCGTCAACATTTCAGACATGCCCCGGCTGTGCCTTCAGAATTTAATGTGCTTATAATGCCGCCCGCTGGCTCTTCGCCGTAAACAGATGCAGTCCTCACTCCCGGATAATCCCCATGCCCAAGCCCGTCCGATCCCAATCCCGATTTCGATTCCAGTTCGCATCGGATACGGTACACACGCAGCCGCACTCCACTCACGTAATTGCGAGAGCAGCACCCTCGACACATTTTTAACAGCAAATGATGTCAATTTCCATGCCCGCCAAGGGCAGGAAAATTCCCCAGATGGAATCCGGGGGGATGAGGTCGGAAAACGTTGAGCGCGTTTTGTTATTCTATCGAAAATTGAACTTAATTGGTGCGTGAAGTGTGCACTGAGTGGATTTGATGGCTGCCAGGCAACTATTGTAGTAGGGCTGCAAATTTGTCTGCAGCCGCGCTCCTTTCCGCTACCCCACCCCCATGCGAAACCCAAACCCCCCAGCCAGGCCTCATTATAATTTGCCAGTCAACAGGCAAAGGTAGCGATCAAATGGGACAGCCGGTATGCACACGAGGGCGGAACTCAAAGATAACTTCAAAATACTATTTACAAAAACTTTCCATCATGGCAGTTGGGAAATGTCAAAAGAATTCGAATTACTATAGGAACAATAAACACCAGGTGACAATGCAGTAAAGGAAGTTTTGTAAGTTAGCGTGGAAAATCGTAGTAATTGTTGCCCACATATTAGGATCCTGTACTATAAGCGGAACCGGAATTAAAGGCCAAACAAACCCAACCCTTTCGGCCGTAGGTGAGCTGAGCTATCTGTGTAATCTCATCATGCCCGACAATCAAATTAATTTGCCATGCCCCAGTTTGCCGCGAAATGGCCGAACAACCCTCGTGGCTGAATCCATGAGGACAGACATCCAGGGCTCAGAGCCTCGGGGCTCCAGGACATGGCATCCAAGCTGATTAGCATAAATTCGTCTATGTCGTTGCTGGCAACGTTGTCGTCTTTTGTCAACGTGTCTGGCATGCCAAGCTGAAAAACTTTGCCGGTTTCCCAGCTGCCAGAAGGTGAGGGAAACTCAAACGAAGAGGAGCAGGACCTGCAAAGGAGCAGGAGCAGTAGCAGGAGCAGGAGCAGTCACGGACCTCGGCTGGCAAACATGTGTCACTGGGGCCTGTCTGCTTATTGCACGACTAATGTCACTCGCAGGCGGAGGCAGTCAACAAAAGGTGGCCAAGGCAAACTTCCTGGCACAAAGACTGGCTTTTA